TCACCCCCAGCCTGAGGGGTCATCTCTGCTAATGGATTGGCATAAGGGACTGGCATAAGGGGCAGCTGCAACCACCCAGACCATCAGAGGTTCCAAAAATATCCCCATGGCTCACAGAGGTAAATCACCCACTGTGGAACTCCCCCCCTGGGGAGGTACTGGGCATTCCCCCCTGAACCTGAGCACACACAATCCACGGCTCTGGGCTCTTCTGGGACCACTTGTGGATCCAGAGGAGGACCAGAACGTCAACACAGCTGTGACCATCATCCTGACCAACAGCTTTCCTTTCCTTTGACTTTGCTCCCAGGGGGGCCACATCCAGCTCAGCACAGGGGCCCACGAACACTGCTCTGTTCCTGTCCCAGGGTGCTGGGTTATGCATCTGTCCTTGGGGCTTAAAATCAGTTTTCTCCACATCATTGTATTTATTGCAATCATTTTAGTAAATTGTAACTCTGACTTGTGATCTCTCTTGAGTTGGGTTTGTTTCTCTGCTGCTTTCCTTTTCAACCAGCACGCCCTCCTTACCCCATCCACGCCCCTGGCGAAGGAAACTGCCCCACATCCCCAGATGAGGACCCAGGAGAGCGAGATGGCAGGCAGGAGCAGATCCCAGCCCCACCCCTGCCCCCAGCCAGGTTACCTTGGCTGGTTCCTCTCTCCTGGCACCGAACCGGCCCTTCTGTGCCCGGGGCAGCCCCGGGGCTGCTCCGAAGGGCTCGGCGGGCGCGTGGACCACGGTGCCCAGTGGGAAGCGCAGGTCTGTGGCACTGCCCATGTGGGACCTGGGGACAAAAAGCCCTGTGGTGGGCACTGTTCCACTGGGGGAGGGTGCCCAGGCTGCCCCCCTGGCAGTCCAGGCTGCTGGGACAGAGCAGGAGGATGAGGCCACTCCGGGATGCCCATCCCAGTGGTGCTTGAAAGGAGGAAAAGCCAGGCTCTGGAAAAAGTGTCCCATTCCCACCCCTCTGGCCCTGGAGATGTGCTCAGAGACTCACAGAATCATAAAACATCCTGAGCTGGAAGGGACCCACAAGGATCATCGATCCAACCCTGGCCCTCACAGACACCTCAACAATGCCACCCTGTCCCTCAGAGTGTTGTCCAAACATTCCCTGAGCTCTGGCAGTCTTGGGGCTATGCCCACTGCCCTGGGGAGCCTGTTCAGTGCCAACCACCCTCTGGAGGAAAAGCCTTTTCCTGAGATCCAACCCGATCCTGCCCTGGCACAGCTCCAGCCATTCCCTGGGGGCTGTCCCTGCTCACACAGAGCAGAGATCGGAGCTGCCCCTTGTGAGGAAGCTGCAGACCCCGATGATTCTCCCTTCAGGAGATCCCAGCTTTCCCACAGACTGTAGGAAGTTCTGCCCTGGGCTTTCCCATGCTGCTCCCTCCCCATTCCGTGCATCCCTATGGGGGAATCCAGCCAGCTGTCCCCAAAACAGCCAACTGTCCCCAAACCCCCCCTGTGCAGGGGGGGCTGAACAGGTTCCTCCTGCCTTTCCTCTCCAGAACAGCTTGAGCCTCCCAACACCTACAGCACAACTTGTGTCTTCTCCATCCCCACGTGCACAACAAGGGCCAGCCAGGGGGCTCTTCTCCTTTCTTTGTTTTCTTCAACATTTTAATGAAAAAATACTCTGATGGAGGAACAACTGACAGGACAGGGGGAAACGGCCTCAAGTTGCACCGGAAGAGGTTCAGGTTGGATATCAGGAAGATCTTCTTCACTGACAGAGTGGTCAAGCACTGGCACAGGCTGCCAGGGCAGTGGTGGAGTCACCACCCCTGGAAATGAGTGGACGTGGCACTTGGGGAGATGATTTACTGGGAGTGGTACTTGGACAAAGGTTGGACTTGACCTTGGAGTCTTTTCCAAACTTAATGATTCCATAACTCTATGAATAAAATCCCACTTGAAGCACCTTCCAGGTCTGAGGACATGAGCACTGTTTGGGATCTCCCAGCAGAAACTAGATGGAACTTCTTCATCCTCCTCCTCCTCCTCTGTGCTGGGGAGCAGCCCCTGTGCCAGGCAGAGCAAGGCAGTGGCTGCTGGACACAAGGACACTTTCTGCCACTCCTGGCACCCAATCCCTGTCTCCATGTTCCCTGGTTGCTCCTCCTTGCCCTGAAGACCCAGCTAGGGGCAGGGGGTCGTTCCTCCCCCCACACACTGCCACAGGAGACACCAGGTTTATTTAATTTAAGATGCATCTCAGGTGACAGAAGCAGGTGTCCGAGGCAGATCGCCTTTGTCCACCATGGTGGGCTTGGTTTGCAGTGCAGATCCAGGTCTGGGCTCCCCAGTGAGCCCAGATAAAACCACCACCATGAGCAGCTTGGCTGGTGCCAGCCTGGGCTTTGCAGACAAAGGCACAGCCCAAGTTTCAGAGGGGATTTTAAGCTGCTGACAAAGCTGCTCCCCAGCTAAGACCAGATAAAGGCACCTCAGACAAAAGCTGACATTTCAGTTGGGGGATTACTCTGCAACTCCAGATTTCCATTGATTTTTCCTCCAAGAAATATTAAAAAACCATGATCAGATTGTCCATCCTGCTCTTAGAGACCCAAAGGGGTCCCACAGATGCTCCAGGCTCTCCACCAGCACTCAGATACCCTTGATCCTCATTGGCTCTTCCTCACTCTCTCACCTTTTCTTCCCTCCAAGACAGACCTGGGGCCTCCAGACCTTGCCCTCTCTGCTGGCAGATTTGAGGTTGGTTCCAGTGGCTCCTTCCCAGCTTTTCCAGCCTTCCTGAGAGGGGAATTTTGCTCCCATTGACCCCTCAGTGTCTTGAGCCCATGCTGACAGTGCTCAGGAGAGAATGTGCTCTCTCCCAGGTGGCTGCAGCAGCACCTTGGGGTGCAGGTTGAGCCTTCACCTCCTTTTCTACCCCATTTTCCCGCTGGACATCCCAGTCAATGCTGGAGGCTGAGACTCCATGGACTCACCTCTGCTCCAGGAGTTCTGGGCTGGGACATCCCCATCTCCCAGATGACTTTAAATGAAAGGGTGTGGGAAGACCATTGTAGAAAGGAGGGAGAAAATGGAGTTCATTCTCTTTTACCTGCAACACCTCAGAAATGATTCCTCTTTCTCCCCCTGCACCCCACAGGGGGAAAGGCCTTTGGTGAACATCCAGCTTTTGTAGAAAATTAACCCCCAAGCCCTTTGTGCAGAAAAAGAAACAATGCCCAGTGGTTTTTCACCCTTAGAAGAGCGAATTTTGGGCCATTCACCGGGCTGGGCTATTCCAAACAGTCTGTCCCAGATCCACAGAGGGACGGCACAGCTGGAGCTGAGCCTGCTCTGAGGGGCCACCCTGCACCCAGAGCCACCAGAAATGCCTGATGTCAACAGCACTAAAGCAAAATGTCCCTGTGGGTGCAGGGGCTTGGCTCTTACCTGGAGTGAACACTCTCCACGAAGGTCCCACTTCTGGTCTTGAGCTGATCCACCTCCAGCCTCAGCTTGTCGATCTCGTCCGACAATCGCCGCTGTGCGGGGCGAGATGAGACAGGCAGGGGTTGGGTTTCGCTCTGAAGAGCTGCCAGGTTTGGGGGAACCCAAATCCTTGGCTGCTGCCAGGTTTATATTCCCTTCAAAAATCCCCACCCCGGGTTTAAAGCATTTTAGACGTGTCAGTGAAGAAACAGCTCATGCAGGCACAGAGGATGAGGGTGCTGGGGAGGGGTCACAGGACAGACAGACAGACAGACAGACAGATGTGTGTGTGCTCAAGCCATGCTGATTTGGGAGATGAAGGAGAATTGGTCCCAGTTGTATGCTCTGGTTTTGCTCCACACTGCACTCTGTCCCTTGGCAAAGGACCAGCAGGGAGGGACCCACCAGCCAAATCTGCTGCTGGTCCTGCCCCTCCTGCTGCCAGCCCCATTCCCATGGGGAAGCTGTGCCTGCACTGGGAGATGGGACAGGGGAGGCTGCAGGCAGGGAAGGAGGAGGGAGGGGATTCTCCTGCACAGCAGGATCCAGCCAGGTGGGCAAAGAGGCTGAGCCAGGGTGGGCGACATCCCGACAGCATCATGCGAGTCCTTGGAACATCTGGGACAGCAAGGCCTGGCCAAGGAGGAGAACCAGCCCCCCTAGCCCCCCTAGTCATGCACCAGACATGAGGCACATCCCAAAGGCTTCCCATTGTTCCAAAAACTTCCAAAAGCTGCAACAACCCTCCTGGTTTCCAGCATGGGCCAACAGGGATTCCTGCAGGGCATCCTTGGATGCTTGATCCCAGAGTGGGAAGACCTACAGGGCTCCTGCAGGCTGGGCATGGAGCTAAATTTGAGGAAGCCTCGAGGGGAAGGGGATGTTGCTGCCTGATCCCTCCTCTATACACGGGCAAAGCCACCCAGGCCTTGGGAGGTTGGGGATGGATGAGACAGAAATGCGGAGACAGGACCAAACACGCCTGGTTAGGGAACTGCCCCGGGGTCTCCAGGGAGGTGGTGGCAGCTTCCATCCAGCCACTGTGTGGGTTGGTTTGTGCCCTCCTGCTGCTGGGCATTCCAGGATCCCAGGTCCTCCAAAACTTGGGCATTTTGGGAGGAGCCACTGCCCCCATGCCAGGGTTTGGAGTAAGGAAGTGCAGTCACTGGGGCAGGCTCCCTGCAGCCTCATTTACCTTGTCGTGCTGGTGTTCCTCTATCTGCTTTTGGGTGTTCTCCAGCTCTTGTAACAATGTGTTCTTTTTAAAAAAAAAAAAATCAAAAAACAAAAAACAAAACACAAAACCAAACAAAAAACCCCAAGGAAAATGAAAGGGAACAAAAAGAGGAAAGAAAAAGAGAGTCCATTTAGAAAACGGCCCTGGGAATGGCCAGAGTGGAATCTCTGTGTGATGGACACCTGGCACAGGGGTGGCAAAGGCTCCCTGAGCTGTAGGAACACCCACCTGCCCATGGACAGGTCTCTGCAGACCTCCTGCCCCTCAAGCAGAGTGGCCCCACACCTGGGCAGGGAGGGCAAACAGTGCCCAGGGGCTTGATGGGCAGGGCCTGAAGATCAGGAACTGTGTGAGAGGAGCTCAAATCCTCCTGGGGCAGCTGGATCCAGGGAAAAAGTGTCCCCTGCATCTAAGCCCGTGGGAAAGCAGACTTTCAGTTCACAGACTCACAGAACTGTTGGAAAAAGGTTGGAAAAGCCCTCTGTGATCGAGTCCAACCGTTCCCCAAGCACTGCCCTGACCCCCACACCACATCCCCAGCTGCCACATCCATGCATTTGCTGATCCCTTCCAGGGATGGCGACTCCACCACTGCCCTGAGCAGCCCGTGCCAGTGCTATAAAATTTCCTGGGAATTTTTTTCCTAATATCCCATCTAAACCTACCCTGTGGAGTTTGCAGCTGCCTGCCCTAGTGCTCTGTTTTTTGGGGGAGGAAAGCTGTAAGTCAAACAGGATCACTTTTTATCCCAGGAAAGACCTGGAGAAACTCTCTGGGTGGGTCAGTGCTGGCAGCAGGCTGGGGAG